AGTAAGTTTTAAGGAAGTAATCAAAGTATGTATCTCGTTCATATTTATTTTTTGCATTACATGTTATAACATCTATCATTACGATAAATTTACATTTAATAAATTATGTTTCTCGAACATTGGTTTCAAATGAAATATGTACAATAAAAAGCTTTTGCATCAATATTTTTTGAAATACTTACGCTGCTCGAGAATCGACATTCGTGTTTTGCTGCTCCCAGAATTTCTTCTGCGTGTAATCAGTTTCGTTCAATAAGATATTGGGCCCGCATTTTCGTGGGCCAAATGACCATATTTTATCCATTATATTATCCTTCCATCCCGCTTCGAGAAAAGCTGTCTCCAATTCGTTCTTGAATACTTTTGCTTCCTTCTGCTTCTTATCAGACATGAATCTCTCGTTGAGTTGATTCTCGCCAGCAATAGCCTCGTGTTCCCCATTCTCTTTTGTGTATCTGTCACAGTAACTATCCAACAATTTTATCAGATTTGCATTTTTCTCTAATAATTTTGTTATATTTTCCGGAAGAGGTTTCGTGTCTATCTCAAAACGACACTGCCGATTTGACGTCCAGACTTCAAGGTTGACTTCCGCCGCCTTCTTCTCGATCGCCTCATTCACCATATCGAGTTTTGGAGGTGGCACTACGGTTTCGCGAAATGGCACGATTGGATCAGACACGTTAATATCGATTTTAGCATATCTCAGCTTGAGATCCTCCAGGCATCTTTCCAGATGAACTTCACCTGCGGTGCTTAAGACGATCTCACCAGTCTCTTGTATGTGAACGATGGCGCAGGCATCCGCTTGGTTCAATAGTTTCAAACCGTTGATGAGCTTTGGCAAGTCGTTGGGATGTTTCGGCTCCAGGGCTACTCTCAATATAGGAACTGCGAGAGAAGTTAATTCTGTGAACGAAGGACAAGCAATTGTCGTTGAAAGAGTCGCGGTCTTTAAAACATGCTCTTCTAGGCTACCAATTCCGAAAACATTACCCGCTGGTACCTTATTTACAGCCTCAAGCTCTCTTCCCATAAGAATGTACAATTTATTTACAGTCACCTTCGTAATATGTCTGCCGGGCTTCAAATCCTTCAGCACGTAGGAAGGATTTATCTTCTCACCCGCTTTCTCGCGTTCCAAAGCAATAGAAGGATTATGTTTTGGTCCTAAAACGAATACCTCATCTCCAATCTTTATAGTTCCCGAATATACTCTGGCGAAGGCTACTAATGTGCCGTCCGATTTATCCTCGATAACATCTTCATGGTTTATGTTATTGGAGATTATCATATCGGGTGTATCTTCCTTAGTATCTTCATGATCTTCAATGGCAGTACAAGTTTTTTGCTCCAGTCTCTCTGCATGCTTCTGTCGAACAATTTCTCTTCTTTGTGCCAATTCTTCCGGTGTTAGCGACTTCGGTCTGTTTTCGGGCAGCATGTCCTTCTCCACTGGAAACATTTTCGATACGAATACGATAATCGGCGCTTCCAACGATGGATTGCATGATAAGAATGCTCTTTTCAGTTGCTGAGTTTCAAGAGGTAAAGCAGAGAAGTCGTTGTTTCCGCTTATCAATCGCTCGATTTTCTCATGAGTTAAATTATGCGGTGCTGGAACCTTCTCGCATACCATATCGAGACAATTTTGCGCCAGTGGAAGCCATTGCGAGCAAACGGCTTGCAACTGTGCTTTTGAATCTGTGTGCCTCAAATCGCGCGTTGTCAATTTAATATTTAATTTTTCAGCTATAGTCGGCAATTTATCTTTATCTTTTCGTATCACTATAATATCGTATAATACCCAGATATTATCCAAAATCAATTGAACGAAAAGTGGCTTCTTAGCCTTCTCCTGAGCTCCCTTCATGATCCTCTTCATTTTGTTATTTATATAAAAATCTCCCCACAACGTTTTACGTAGAACCTTTTCGCTAAATCCTAATTTGTTCGAATAAATTTTCGCGAATTCCATGATACTAAATCCCCAGCCATCAATTGCACTAGTGAAAAGAACGTTTCCTTGTTCCGGAGAGAAGTATAAATTTGAATCATCTATCTCTTCCAATACAGATTGCCAATCGGCCAGATCCCTTTCGTTCACCTTGTCCCACGTAGATGCGACCGTCTCCTCGCGTTCTTCACGTTCCATCACGTCGCTCGCAAATAACTCTCCCATGATGGCATTTACTTGTTCCAAGACTTGTGTCAAACGTACGTAAGCGTCCAATGGTGTCAATTTCATTTCCGTGATCAATCGGTCAACTTTATTAAGTACTAAAATAGGTTTCAAACCCTCGACGTAGGCTATAGATAAGGCACTACGTGTCTGGGGACATACGCCTTCTACTACATCAACTAGGATGACAGCTCCGTCTGACAATCTGACTGCTGTTGAAACTTCAGAGGAGAAGTCCACATGTCCTGGAGAGTCAATCAAGTTTATCACATGGTCCATTTCGTTGTATACATGATATAGCGTTATGGAGCTAGATTTCATTGTAATCCCACGTATCTGTTCATCTGGTCTACTATCCAGGTATCTAAGTTTGCCAGCCAGTTTATTGGATATGATGCCATTGCTTGCAACAAGAGAATCCGCCAGGGTAGTCTTTCCATGATCCACATGCGCTAGGATACATATGTTCCTGATATGTGTGGCATCAGTTTGTATCTCGTTAAGCTTCTCAATGCTGATAAAGCGCATTGTTACTCAGATAGGACAATGAAGGATGAAGAATATAGCTCGAAAGTATGTACAAATATACACACACACACACATATATATATATATATATATATATATACGTATCGTATTTACGTATCTTACGATTTACAATATTCAGCGATTGCAACAATAAATGTAAACGAATGACGTAGCAGTGCGGCAATATATACATACAATTCGACTTAGGCTACTCTATATTTATAAAAACTTAAGCTAGTGTCGGACCGATTCGCATTCGCGCACGTGTCCAGTTGTGGTAAACACTATTTCAGTTTATTTTCTCTCCAACAAAGCGCGTAAGGTTTGTTGAACGCGAGGATGTAACGAAGGTTGAACGGCCTCGCTGTCGTCGTGCGGAACATGCCAGCGGACATCGGTTATCGGCGCGACGAAACGAGACACACGCAGAAATACGGGTGAACGACGGGCACGTGGACGGGATCTCTCCTCCTCGTCGATATGTGACGCTCGACCACTAACCGGAGTGGTAGTCGAGGCTGGAAATGACACTGACACTTGCCGCCTACTTCGAGAGGTTAGGCGTGCTGAAACGTGAACTTGACGCGCGCCGCTTTCTCACTCGTTTCGCCTTGTGCTCGACCGCGTATTTCCACCAAGTATCCGCCTGTGACACGATTGAATTCGATCTGGATCTTTGATCAACGCGATTTTCCGTTCGTATCGTGCAGATTCACGAGTACTTAACCATGAAACGTGCAGACAGCCATATTGCTTCGGTGCGTGAGAGTAATGCGCGATTAGTGCGATTCGATTTGCGCATGCGAGACAAAAATGGATAAATAAAGGAAGAGAGAGAGAGAGAGAGAGAGAGAGAGAGAGAGAGAGAGAGAGAGAAAGAGTTGATTAATCATTCGAAAAGAATTTCTTTTCTCTTGAACAGAAGCAAGGATGAATAAACTTTGTTAGTCTAATCGGTGATAATCATAATTAACTTTAATGGATCAAATTAAATTTAATATCTATTATTTTATTGTTAATAGATAAAATTAATTTTTTTGTTGTTTAATTATAGAATTAGAAATTTTGCTGTTAAATTAATAACTGATTAATCGAAATTCGGTTGAATTTTGCTCTAATGGCTATTTCTATCAATATAGATTAATTTTAATCTCGATGTAACTTATTTTTATCTTTTTCTAAGTTTTAAAAATTAAAAAAACATAATGGATACACATAACACAATTTATGCCCACAATTTATTTCAGCTCAATAAACGAGATTAAAATGGATTAAAATTTTTTTAATATGTACTTCAAATCCATGAAAATGGATTAGAGCTGATACTAATTTAATATTCGAAAAAAAAACATTCATTTATTTAAGGATTGCAAATTTTATTCCTAAGACATTTATAATAATTATGTCTGATATTAATTACTTCAAATTGGTATTAAAAAACGCACCTTAGGAATTTGTAACTTGGAACCTTTGGATTATAATATGAATCTTCTACGTTACCCGTTACATCACTTCTTCAATAAACATGTTATTCATTCTCTATTTCAACCAGCTAAACCAGTGCACGAAATTATATAGATATGTATAATAAAAATATCATCATTTAATAGATATAATAAAATATAAACAATTTACATTAGAATGAGACAACATTGGATAAATGTCGAATAAGCTAATCTCGCTCGGCCGATGTCGCGCGCCATGATCAGTAATATTCAGGCTGTATTCGACTTGGTTTGCAAGTGAACACTTACAGTTCACATCGATCATTCATTTTTACTTCTAATTAAAAAGAACATAGCTCAATTATTTTTACAACTTTTTTAAACTTAGTTGGATTAAAACAAAAAATTTTCTACTTATAATTTTATAATAATTTAAGTAGCATTTATGGTTCATTTTTAAATAAAAATGTTTTTTATTCAATTAAATTGAAAAACTGCATTTCATATTTAGAATATTGAATTGAGCAATATTCACGATGCACACAAAATACTATATTATTTTTTTATTGAAAAACATAGAAATATACTCCATGTCATTCCTATAAATAAATAAAAATGCATTCAGGATTGAAAATAATTTATTAATTATTTTAACATTCATGTCTGTATTTTTGAAAATCTAAATCCATTTTAATCCATTTCAATTTATTCTCGTTTGCTAGAAGTAGATTAACTTTCTAATCTTGGTTTAATTTACTTACTTTTTTTCTAATGTTCCTACTAAAATGTAGTTTAATTTCATTCATTTTAATCTCAGTTTAACTGTTCATCTTTTTCTGATTTTTAGGATGAAGGATAAGTTAAACCGAGTTTAGAACCAAACTACATTTTATGATAACAATGAATATACGAAGAGATTCGATAAAAAAAATATTATTACTTGAAATAATTTCATTAAAACATACAGAGCGATTTATCGTGATCTACTTTTCGGCGAAAACATCCGTTTTACTTACTCGTGTTTCTCTATGCTTGTTGTCTTTTCTGCAACATAAGTTTCGAGTCGAATAAAAGAAAAAAATAAAGGAAATAATTAATCAAATGGAATGCAAAGTGCGACCAAAAAAAAAATTATTACCGCGACGCGATGGAGCTAAGTCGTAGATATACTATTATTATACACAGATAATTACGTGATGATTACGAGAAAACTTCAAAGAGAATAATATGAGCTTTTAGTGCAAAGTATAAAATCGATAATTCGTTTTATTTGCTATCTGTTACGTGACAATTGAGTTTTCTGAAACAAATCCAAAAAATAGCAGGCCTTTAAACGCTCGATTATTTTTTTATCTTAGCCGGTCGATGGTTTATTGTTATAATAAGTTGTATAATAAGTTGTAAGATTTAGGAGAAATTTGGCACAGTAGATTTAAAGAAAAATTTTTTAAGAGATTAGAGAAATTTTTAATAGAAAAGATTTAGGAAAGGCATTCGGAATTTATAATTAGTGAACGATTTGATCATATTCTTGCCGCAATTTTGTTGAAAGTTTTTGCATATATCTTTCTATATATCTTTCTCCTGTAATGTTTCTTGCAATATTGCAGCATGCAAGAGCGCAACATTGCTACGAAAGAGTTTTGTGTACTCGAATCATGTTTTCTAAAATTTCACGCATTATTTTAATATAAATTAAAAACCTATTATTAGTTATGTGTAACTATTTTATTCGCAATCACTGAAAATATATAGGTACAAAATATATTGAGGTGTTTTTTTCTAGACTTTAAAAACTAATATAATCTATAAGAAGTTTAAAGCAATGATTTCATTATCATTAATCAATGATAATGAAAGCTTACATAAAAGATGAGTCCTTTTATTCCAAAAATTTGTTATTCTCTCGAGCCCTTTTATCTCTGTTATTCCTTTTTTTCCACTTTTAATAGACTTACTCAACATATTATTTTCAACATACTTTATTGAGAAAGAATTAGCTATATTATATTTTAATCCAACCAGTGAAAAATATTCCAATATTTTCGGATCGCTATTTTTTATCTTTTTTTCTCTCATCGCCAGAATACACGGTAGCATTTCCCGTCAAGAAAGAAGATGTAATAAAAAATTTTATGTAATAAAATATTTTATTTAAATGAATTGATATTATAAAAAAATGGATGTATTAGAAAAAAGAATAGATTTTTCCAATTTAAAAAGATAACAAAAGATAAAAAGATAACAATCATATTTCTAAATGTACTTCATGCATAGATATGCATATTTCTCTGTCCGATTTATGCCATTCAAAAAAATCATTTTCATGAATCTTGTTCCCTTCATTATGAATTTGCCTTGTCGTAGACAACAGGAAAAAAAAACTGCAAACCTATCTATTTTGGAGAGAGAAATCTTTGAGAAACAGATACTTATATTATAGATTCGGATGTAAAGAAATAACGATCAAAAGATTTAACTAAATACGAAGTAGTACATAACAAAAAACAATTCGAGGACAACTGACGAAATACGCTAAAAAATGGAACATAGAAAAACGTAAGCAAATAAACATTATTATCCTACATCCTTAACCGTGATTGACCGAGTGATTGCTTAATGCTTATTGCAACGTTTTTCTATGTGCCACTAGTGCTCTATTCATTAACGAGAAAACGATATTACAAAACGGGCGAGACAACTAGAAATTGTTTCCCTCCGCGGCTTCCTGCACTATTGTGGATTTCGTTTTCTTATAAAGGGCTCGTCTCCTTAAATTAAGCATTGTTTTCGCCACTAGCCACACCGCGCCCGTCTCACACGTGTAACGCAACGCGTTCATGAAACCGACGATCAAAGAATGTGGTGGATATCCGGTCGTGCGCGATTCGATGCCGACTGTTCTCAATGATGCTTTGACGAACGTCTCTGGACTAGGTGCCATCCACGATGGTTTCCTACAGAAAAGATATGAAGTGACGACAATCGACACAGAAAATTTTAAATTCTGTGATTATTGAAAAATAAAATAGAATTAAAATTATTTCACTTCTCGAGTTTGGAACCGCGCGAGTTCATTATGTCAAGTAAGAGATTCTTACTTGATCTTGGACATCTTCGTGGCAACCGGACCGGGTAGAATACATTGAACGGTGACGCCTCTCGGCGCAGCTTCCGTAGCCAAATCTGCGCTGAGTTTATCGATGTACGCTTTACTAGCGGCATAAACGGATAGATATGGACTGGGTATAGCCGCGGACGTCGAACTCACATTGATAAGTACTCCTTTCCCTCGCTCCAGCATACCGGGTAGAATTGCTCTTGCGACCCCGGTTACTCCAGCCACATTCAATTGCAGTATTCTCGCGAGAACTTCCTCTGACACATTCGTGAACATTTCAGGATGATCGTAACTTGCGCCAGCGTTGTTCACAAGAACACCGACCTATTGGAAAATATTTCCTAATTATTGGGTTGGCAAGGAAATAATTGCGTTTTTTTAGCTCAAAGTTGTATATACAATATCTTCGTTAATAATGAATGAAATTTAAATTTTAAAAAAGGATTTTAAAGCTTGAAATCTCTACTTTTAAAAGCTTACATTTTTTAAGTTTATATATTTTAAGTTTGATAATTTTTAAATACCAAAAATTACGATCTGAAAAAGATGGAAAATTTTCTTTTCACTTTGTGGGTTTGTGCCCAAAACAAATTTGAGAAAATTTTCGACTATCTATTATGAAAATGATACTTTCCCTACAAAATCATTTTTTTTTAATATTCCTATGATTTTGGTTACTTATCGCGAATTAAATAAAAGGATCATTTTGACTTTAATTGTTAAAGTTTGTCGTAATTTCGCAATTTAAAAAAGAGATTCTTAAAACTGAAACTATCAAAATATATTTATATTGGTTAGTAAGAAAGTAATATTGCGATTTTTAATGATAAATAGCCTTTTAAAAACGTAATTACTTTCTTGCCAACCTAATATTTTCGCTCTCTCTCTCTCTCTCTCTCTCTCTCTCTCTCTCTCTCTCTCTCTCTCTCTCTCTCCCCCTCCCCCCTCTCTCACATTAAAAAAAGTATCTCTTAAATTTTTAAGGAAAAGAAATTTTTTAAATTTTTTTATACACATTAATTTGTGCTTTTTATTTATTGATTTATTTATTTATTGATTTATTTATTAAAATCTAAATTAATTTGTTTTACATTTTTTTGCATATTTTTTTTAAAGAAAAGCGATCTCTTTGTTCATACATCTCTGTGAAATATTCCTAACAATTTGTTCGAGATTTACAATGAATCACATTTGATTTATTACCTCCAAGTCCTGCGTTGCTTTGCCAATTTCCGCGTAAACTATCTGGCCTTCGGTTAAATCAGCTTCCACAACACGAGTTTCCACGCAATATTTCTGCTCGATCTCAGTAGCAACATCCTTCAACTTGGACAAGGATCGTGAGACCAAGACGATATCCATACCTTCTTCGGCAAGTGCCTTAGCGAATGCCTTCCCAAGACCATCTGTTGCACCAGTTACCACCGCCCATTTCCCCTGTGTTCGAAAATGTATTCCAAATCCGAAAGTCGGGGCGATCAGTTTCTTCCACGTTAAAATTCCGATCTTAACGAGGATCCTCAAACTGATCAGTGCTATTATTAACAGAAATATCTTCTCCCACCAGATTAGCGCCATTCTAAAATGTAAGCAATACTATATGTATGTTATGTAGATGATTCAATCTTCTTATACAGTACTGAAGCTAGCAGTAATATTATAACGTTTGAAATACATGATACTGCTTAAATTGCAATGTTGCTGTAATATTGCTAGACTGCTGGAATAATTTATGCTGTATGAGTTGCTTATATTTAATTTATTTCGCGGTTGAGCAATCAAACGCGAATCACGATCTGACAAGGTCTTTGGCTCTCAAGATAAATGATTTTAAAAAATCTTATTAAATTTTAAATTACTTCATCTGAATTATACTAATAATTATATTAATAATATTATATTAATAAACTAAATTTGAATTTAACAAACTATTGTCTGGCGTGACTGTTGTAACAAGAAGTTGATTGTTGTATAGCAAGAAGTCTGTTCTCAGTCATTACCAATTTGGCTTCCATGACCTCGTGTCATATCAGCCGTGTCAGTCATTGTATTGCTAACTTCATTCGCCACCATTCGCATTTATATCTTGTTTTATACCTTGAATTTATACCTTGAAAAATATTATTTATATAATATTCACCTAATTAACATCTTCAGACTTGGTTAATTTCCAATATATTTATAATACATTATTTTAAAATCTGAGGGGTATTATTATTATTTTTTTTTTATTTATATATATATATATACTACACATTATCTTAAATCTGAAGCACATTAATCTTTGATTATATTTTTCTGCTTAGATTTCATTCTTACATAATATATTTCCTGTCAGGCGATAGAGATAAGTTCTTATATAAATGATATATTCCACAAGTCTTAAAAAAATGTGAGTCATGAAAAAATACATCAATTATGTGATCAATTATTCTTCTATAAATATCGATTATTTATACAAATCGTTTATACAAAACGAGTGTTTAGTGTTTTTTCTTTTTCATTTGTTACGTTTTTATTTTTCTAAATATATGCTTATCTTTCACGTACATATCATACTTATTATATAAACATGTTTTGCGCGCAGATGCTTTTGAAATACAGAATGATAAGTATTTCGTTTTCACATACGCAATGAAAACATTAACATACCATATTTATTCATCATCATTGATAATCCAATCAATATTCGTTGCGATCGTCAAAGAAAAAAAAATCAAAGCTTTGCATGCGGAGCAAAGTCCTATTGTCGTATTATAGATTTCGTATCACATGCACAGTGATAATATTTAATATGTTTTGTTAGATAATGTGTGTTTTAAAAGAAAAAAATTTGCCTTTTATATTTTCAAGTTTGACTATAAATACATCAGTATATTTTTAACATAAATCTTAGAAAATAGAAATTCAGTACTATCCAATTTAATAATAAAAGATAATGATTAATTATTCATTTTAAATACTAAAAGCACTAAACAACAATACTTTTAATACTCAAAATAAACTGTTGCAACAGATGTAATAAGGTAATACAGCAAAATATCAGAATTTGAAAAATTTAAGTTGTTTGATTTGCTCTGTACTGAAAATCTCGTCGACTTTGATCTTGGTCAACTGATTTGATTCATATATAAAGGAAAATAAGATTCTTGAGTATTTCAGAAAACAGAATGGAAATAGTTAATATCCATTTCAATATAAATTAACCTCAGTTTAATTTCCTTTTTATCCTTTTCTAATTCTTAGAACTAAAAAAAAAAGAGTAAATTAAACTAAAATTAATCAATGTAAATTAACTTTAATCTCGATTTAATTTAATCTTTATTCTTTCCTAATTTTAGAACTAATTTTAGAAAAAGATAAATAGTAAATTAAACCAAGATAAATCAATGTAGATTAACTTTAATCTCAATTTCATTTACTTTTTATCTTTTTTCTAATTTTTAGAATTAAAAAAATAAAAAGTAAATTAAATCAAGATTAAACTTAATTAAAAAGAAACGGAAACATAAACTGTTTTCGAGAAATTTGTCAAATAGATAATCAGACAGATGAACGAAAAATTGAAATTATAAAGTAGGTATATAGTGTGCTACATTGTGCTACTTATTAAATAGTTAATTAACATCTTTCAATATCAATGTTGTACAAAAGAATTCAATACATTAATCAAAAGTCTTTGAATGATATATTTTATCATTTCTATATATAGCTAATTTTATTTCGCCTGGCACGACCAAAAAAAAAGTAATTAATTCTGACCGGACAGATCGTAAACTGCATAGAATTTCATCGCGATACATACAGCTTTCTCCGACGTTTCATACTTAAATGCGCGAGGCGATACCACGATACTTTCTCACTTTCTCACCTGAACTCGACCTTTACCAGCAACTGACTCTTCTTCCAGATCTCCCAATCATCCGATGACGAATGACGAATTCCGTTCTTCACGAGGGATGCGACAGCTATATTCTCGTCTCAAGAGAATGAATGTCAACAAATGTGCGCGCGACTGTTTGAAAATGACGATCGTATTTAATCACGTCTTATATGCATGCAGCAATATTTCGAATGAAAGGAACGAAGGACAAGGTTGATTGGTTTAGTGAGCACGATGCTGAGAGCGAATCAGATTGATTAAAGACGAAAATCAAGGTTACATTCACTAGAAAGACAACGACCTCAAGTACTCCTTGTACTACCTTGATAACTGCCGGCGTTATACTGCGTTCTGCCGCTTGCGAAAGCGCGGTCGCGATCAATGCTTTGCTCGGAATTAGGGGACTATCAGCGACGCTTCCGCGCGCGCGCGTACGTACGTACGCATTGATACGCACTACGCATGCAATGTCAGGGCTGAGGAAGAGCTGACCAGTACTTATCACCAGTATTCCCCACTTCAATGAGATGTCTCGTCCCCACGACGAAAAAATAGCGGTATCCTTGTTCACGTGGCCGAACAAAAGGTTCGCCGTCTAAACGAAAACGGCGGTGGGGCGGCCGAGAGAATTGACGATTCTCTCTTTGACACACTTCGCCGCAAAACTCGCGGCCTCCTTCTGTAAACTTCACACGATTTCTTTGATCGTCCGTGCGATATATCGACGACTGTGATACACTCCCGTTTTTTAAAAAAAAAGAATATTATATTTAGAAAAACTGCGTGTTGTTTGAATAATATAAGTCATTTCTCGTGCAATGAAATAGTTTTATGTACGTATATCAAAAAGCGATACTCACGTTCCTGATGAAATAATTGATTGGAATTTTCTATTGAGTTTAATAAATATTAAAAACAAATGTTTGCCTTTGAATTTAAATTTACAATTCTCGGACTTGCAATTTTTTGCAAGTTCCTTTTACCGCACATTTATAATGTTAATTCTAAGTTTGTTTTTTCAGCTGAATTTTTTGTTCATTTTTCCGCCTATTATTTTCATATTTTGAATAAAAAAAAACAAACTAATTTCCTGATGCATGCTTTCATAATTATACATGATTCGATTGCTATGTACAATATACAGTCACGAAACTAATTGTCCGGAAACAGATATTGCAAGTTTATTTATATATATAGTTACTATCCTCAATCATTTTGGAATCGTGTTCTCTGGATAGATGAATCAAAGATTAAATTGTTTGAATCTGGAAAGAAAAAAGTTTACTATAAAGTCAGAGAAGCTTTTAAAATCCGAAATCTAATTCCTATTATAAAATATGGTGGTGGAAAATCTCTCTTCTGGGGATCTTCTGGAGTAAAAAAATTTGAATTTATCTATGATACAATGAATCAACATACGTAGAAATTTTAAAGCGTAATTTTTAAAAGAGTCCGCTCGTATAGCCGGAATCAAATGAAATTTTATCATGCAGTTAGATAACCCCAAGCATAAGCATGAGTATTTTTTTTACATTTTTCCAAACTTGTTTTTTTTTCTAAAACAAACAATGAAAAAATTATGCCTTTAATTATATTTTGTGTTTTCACACATTACTATTATTTTTATTACACTAAAAAGTTTTACAAAAGAAGGATGCATGAACATGTATGGACATATTTCATATATAATTATACATGTTTATGAATATTTATGCATATTCATGCATGAAAAATTTGTTATCGTTAAGAGTTTTCACTTCTAAAAATATTATTCTTTAAAAATTATATTATTTGATGATACTGTACCGAAAAATAAACTTGCAATATCTATGTCCGGACAATTAGTTTCCTGTCGACTGTATATTAAATAACAAATTTGCATTAATTATCTCGCATGTGAAAATTTAATTCTTAGTGCACACGATGACTTTCCAGACTTTATTACACACGATGGGTCGTTCGTGTCTCCAGTTAATTTTCATTGCTTTTACAAGTACCTATATTAAAATTATTAAATTATTAAATAATTTTTATATATATTTTAATTTAATCGTCGTATATAATAATTTAATCGTCTTTATAAAATATATGTAAGGTTGCGTATTAAAAACATTGTACATAAATGTTATAATTTATAATTAATTACTTGGTGCTGCTAATATTTCAAAGACAAGAAATGCATAGGACATGAATAACCCAACCCATATATAATCATCATAATAAGGATTTATATCAGTAGAACTTGTTCGTAGATAATAATTGTGTAAGCACTATAAATATTACATATTATCTATTGATCATCGCTCTATTTTCGTTTTTTTTTTACATTTCCTGTATAATATACATTGATTTATACAGCATTATTATATTACAGCACAATTATCGTTCATTACATTAAAACTCATTACGAAATAAATACTCGCTGCAATTATAAATTAAAATAATACGTAAAGGTTAAATGAAATTTTAGATAGATGTAGAAATATCTAGATATCTAATTAACACGCTTATTAACATAATTTTGTATCAAACTTCAGACTGTCATTTACACAATTACTTACAATGCTTTATATTTTACAAATGAATATTGATATTAATCTGCGAAGATTACCTCGGATATAATTATATTTTTTATGTTTGTGAGTAAATAAGTAATTTTTAAGTATTATGCACAAATAAGGAGTTACCTTACAAATATGCAGTTTTTTATTGTGCAAATATAGAAATAAACTATAAATATAGAAATAACAAATTTATTTCAATATAATTCGGTCAAGCTATAATTTATCACGTAAATATGGTCGTCCTTTCAAATTGACTAAAATTGTCTTCACACTCATTTTAAAAAGGAAATGCTTTAGGTATTTCTACGCTGAAAAAAAAGATTGGCTGCTAACAATTTAAATGCAGCATAGCATTTTTAATTGACTTTGCAGTAGCAAATTAAAAATGTTATGCCATATTCGGCCAATCTTTTCTTTCAATATATGGATAAGTATAGAAATGTATGGATTTAACATAATTTATTCAAATTCAATATCCGTTCAATATACAAAATGTATATTATACAGACTTCTATAAAGACTGCCAACTTCGCTTCCATCTTTGAAAACAGCGCTAGACAGCGACATATTTGAGTTTTCTCATTCACACATGTATAAATTACGTGAATAAATTCACATGATACTCACAAACATGCGGAGGCGTTACCGCCTTTGGCGCTCTACACTGGAATTTTGTTTTTGTATCCTATCACAAGGATTATTAAGTCTCTGAAGCACCAATCTCCCACCAATGGCAACGAACCAATAACCAAAAAAAAAGCAATTTCTACCAATTTGCAGAACACAGGAATATGAATACAATAAATTTCATATTTTCTTTTGTAATAATCTATTTGACGCTTAATGCAACATACTATTATATTTTCTGGCTTTAATAGTTTTTGAAAAATTCTTCAATTGTTATGTAATCAGGACTGATTACGTAACTAAAAAACCTATTCGTCAATTCTTTTTTAATATCATAGCTAAATCGCATCTGTGAATTTCTCAGAAAATTGACCGCATCTGTGAATTTCTCAGAAAATTCTTTATTATTTTTAATTTTTAAAAAGATATCTGTGCACAGTTACCACAGATATTGGACAGTTAATAAGATCGCTATTGCTAAATTTGAAGATTTCTAGAAAACCACTTTTAATTAATTCATTTAAAATATCAAGATAAAATTTTATATTTATGAGAGTAGCGCTGCTTAAAATTTTATGCTCTACGCTGGAGCGTATCTGCTTAATGCCTTCCGCAAACAGGATACATACATATGCATGAGAACAAGGACACAATCAGATTCTCTCTATCGAGACAGCAGTGAGCATTGAGTCAGCAATATATTTATATAAGTCTGTGATTGTATATATACATACATATTCATATTTGTAGATACAGACTAGAATATTACGTACTAGAATATTAAATTATTAAATTACAGATACATAATATTGAAACGATGGACATTGTAATCGGATGGAAAGATACATGAAGAATATGTATTCAACTTTATATATTAAGATGGAATTACATGATGCTCGATTTCTTGAATGATAGCATATAGTCATGCCTGTTTTGATATATGCTAGAATTCGTTCATGCGTTGAACGTTGCATGTGCATATACTTGATTTTTATATTTATTATGGGTTACTAGCTTATTTTTCCTTGCATGCACCAATCAAAAGAAATAATTGCTAATTTCATAGTTATCTGTCAAACGTCAAACTATATGCATCAAAGCAAGCATAGCAACATGCATGTGTGCATGCATGCGTGCATGCTTATCATTCAAGAATCGAACACTGTGTGATTCCATCTTTACATATAATTAAGATAGAAATGCGTCATACATGTGCGGCCTTCATTTCTCTTTTGCGTTATTCGATCTATTTTTTAGGATGCCATATAATAAAATTATATGACATAAATGCAACGCCGCGCTGCTGAACACCGTGCTCGGATACGTGTTCCAGCACAATTCTATTACACCTAAAATGGTCAATTTAAAGATAGTCTTATAGTCAGTGCACCACGCGATGTATGGTAATGTATGATAGTACCATATATAGAATTGATAATGCAACGATCTGCTAAACATAATGCCGATAAAATTCGCAACAAAAAGTGGATAGACAAATAACTGACTTACAGTAGATATATCTACCTTTTCTTTCTTACGAAGTTGAGGCTTCAATTCCTTTCCAATGTGTTTTAACTTTACATACGACTTCATGTAGCTGATCCAAATGGGCGCGCAATACAGCAGCGTTAATACATGCAGAAGTAACAGAGAAACATGCAAATATGGATGTACAAATACCTCTTCTGGTAAGAACCTCCAATTTACAGTCCATCTGAATTCAAAAACTCTACCCAAATTGAAAGCGCCCTTTATATAAGCAATCGGATTCTCTAGCAAGAACGGAAGACCAAGAATCAGCTGTATCAATGCACAAATAGACAAATGTATCAATGTTTTGAACATTCTTAGTGCGCATAGATAAATAACAAGAAGCGCTGGAGCAAACAGCAATATGTTCATCTTGATGGACACAGCAAGACTATATAACACGCTACCCAAGTACCAGCGATTGTCCAAGAATGAATTGATAGATGCATATAACAGCACCATTGCTACTGGATCATTGAAGAGTCTCAAAACAAATATCGAGTGTATTCTATAGGAAGTACAGCACATCAAGATGAGAACGTAAGGCGGCACTTTCTTGGTCCGTGCGTAAATCCGGAAGACTAGCATCAGCATGATCACGTACAGTGCCGCAAAGATGTACTGTGCTATCCTTACGTTGGTGCCATGAGAAGTTATATAATAGAGGCTGGAAAAGATGTAGACAAAGCCGGCAGGGTAAACCAGTGATCCAGTATCACCTCGCAGTTTCGAGTAGTCCAATGTGCCGTTCAGGAAACCTTCAACTTCTTGCATATAGGCCTTCCAATCGATTTCAGTGTATGGCACTGTCTGGATGACTACTGCATTCAAGACGATTTCCAGAATAATGAACAGTTTCACCGTCAATGACAATTTTTTCGGATCGGTGAGAAAAGAGACGAGTTGTCGCCATTCCACATAATTCTCTAGCCAGCCCTTGTTGCTCCTCCTCGAAGACCTACCAGCATTGAGGTTAGGTCTCGTCTCCCTGCGTGGCGCCATTCCGTCTGCAATGCGTATCTATCGTCATTTATTGTTTTTTTTTAATTATACTTATAAACAGACTCGCGCAGATTTCCAATAGTGAATATTACCTCGGTCCCTTTTCCGTGATATCCTCAAGAGGTTAGCCGGATTTACGATATCGGTTCATCCGCGTGACGATAAATAACCAGCTCATCGGAGCGATAATCCATCACTTTTTGTCATCGGATACCCATGGATGCCGCGGAAAAGATACTTCTCTTTCGTTTTTTATGTATCGAGTGACAAATCTGTGTTTTCCTTGGTATAAATGTCCACAGAACCTTATTGGAATAAACATGGCGATCGCAAGGTAAATAGAACTGGCTGGCTTTTCGAGCTGAACTTTCCAAATTATTCGCCCTTTCTTTCTATCTAATCGATCCGATCAAATAGCTGTTTCAGTCGAGTGCAGAAAATGCGGGAGTGCAGCAATATATAGCAAGAATCATGGTGTATTTACACCATGGCAAAATATAAATCCCCTCTCACTTACATCGCACGGCGCGCGCGAATTGCGATGACGTCACGACCAATCGGCGCGCGGACGGCAGTGACGTCACGACCAATCGGCATGCGCCAGCTGGGATTCCGGGTTTTTGACAGAATCCAACGTGTCGCGAATAGTCGCGAAGCTCGGAGGTGAACGGCGGCGGTGGACGTATCGCAAGATATTTTGAGGAGTCGAAAGTGTGAATTAAAGTCACCACGCGCGCCCATCTACCGAACGACGGAGGCCTCGCATCGGAAATACGGTAATTTTCAATCCGATCGCAACGATACGTAGTACGCGCCCGCGCGAAATAACCTTAAATTTAGTCGTCGAAGACACTTACGTGTCAACATTTGACATCTCGCGTTTTTTTCCGTCGGTATTCTCGCAACTCTCTTTGTCCTTTTGTCACAAAATCTAGGAATCTCGTGAAATTGAAAGCTTGGAATGTTTCCTTTAGCGTCTTCGAGAACGCTCGAGAATAACAGGGATGTTGTGATTTTGTGAATTAGAATATTTGTAATTAAATTCCGATTAATTTGAGTTAATAATGAAAATTTATAATGTGGCGAGAGATCACTTTAATCGACTTTCTCTTGTCTTTTTTGTGACAGATAAACATATTTAAAATATGTTATCGAAATTTTAGGTTTTTTTAACTACTTACATGGCTTATCTTGCCTCTTTTTCTTTTCACATTGAAGAAAAAAAGAGAAAAAATAAATAATGCAGGAAATTCATCTAAAAAGACCTTTTGATTTACACGATCATATGATAACACTTGTATAAATATTTATTTACATTTTATTGATTAAAAAAAAATTTTTAATTAACAGAACTCGATAAAACAGAAAGATGAATGCGTCGATGTCGTTAATACTTTCTGTATTCCTCGGAATTGTGTGTACTGTTACAGCATTAAAAGAAGGTGACTGTGAAGGTGAGAATCTCTCTGACATTTGCCTTATATATAAAATTTATACATCCCTTTTTATGACTTTTACATTCTTTATCTGATTTTATAGTATGTGTTGCTGTTGTGGACAAATTTAGTCAGACACTAACGGCAGATATTAAAAGTAACCCTAAGAAGATTGAAGAAAAGTTTCGAGAATTCTGTAAAGGCACTAAATCAAAAGAAAATAGATTTGTGAGTATGAGCCTGTGGACAAAATAAATACAGATTCCCTTGATCAATTGTTTAAAATAACCGCAATTGTTTTATGTGCTTCCAGTGTTATTATTTAGGTGGATTAGAAGAATCTGCCACTGGTATCTTGGGTGAGCTGAGTAAACCACTATCATGGTCTATGCCTGCAGACAAGATATGCGAGAAATTAAAGAAGAGGGATGCTCAAATATGCGATTTGAGATTCGGTATGTATAACATTTGTACACTCTTATCATTCTTGTTGCAAAGTCGAATATTTTGTTAGTGTTACGTTGCTATTTTTGTTTCAGAGAAACAAATTGACCTCAATACGGTAAATCTGAAAAAATTGAAGGTACGTGATTTAAAGAAGATTTTGAATGATTGGGAAGAGACGTGTGATGGATGTATAGAGAAGACGGACTTTATCAAGCGGATTGAGGAGCTCAAACCCAAGTACTTTAGCAGCAGTTCAAAGACGGAGCTTTGAAGGATTATCCTTAATTTAGACAAGCAATTAAGTTAGGATGGCTAAAAGTTCTGTTTCTTCTATGGAGGAATTGTTTACAGCATTTAGGATATGTATTATCCGTGTCAATATACGATTCGCGTATAGCTATGTTCTGAAAAAGTTTGTCTTTAATGACAGTCTTACGAAGACATTTAGTTTCCATTAAATGGAGTAGAGTTTAAATGAGAATTAGCATGAGACAAACGATAATGGGCAAATTTTGTTATGCAACATTTTTATATCTCAATAATTTCGAAGGACATATGTTAGTAATCTGATTTTTCCTTAAAGTTAGCCATGCTAATGGATCTTTTTTTACCGAAGGTGCTCCATTTTTATGACATCATTAGATATAAATTAATATACGTCATTTATATACGAGAAATTATTTTCACACAGTATTTATCTTTATTGCTCTTCCTCAGGTAGTATAGTAATATGCAAATACGTGTTTGTACGGTATGTTCGAACAATACTTCGTACCAAAACATAAATACGGTGTCGAACGATGTGTAAAAGATACTTTAGCCACAACACCGTTATACATTCTTACAAAATTAGATTTTCTTTTTCGTTATCCGTTATGAAATACGAACAAAATGTACAACTAAACTTATGAAATATTTCTCATGGCCAGTATGAACTGTCTTATTTGAACGTGCAGACTTAACAATGCCAATTTTTGAGATAAGAATTATTTGTATCGATATACACCAACTTTTCCAGTAAAAAGAAACAAAAAAAGAGATAAAAGTATATAATATGTACTCGAAGTACAATATCCTAAAATTAAAGATTACGATAAATCGCGCATAAATAATTATAGATAAGGTATTGTCGCATATCCAAATGTACTACTCCGAAAATTCCAAAACTGAATTATTTATTTCATGATAAGACTGCGTAATTACGTTTTCTATATTACATTCATGAGTCTTGATACAAGAGGTCAAACAAATAAAAAAAAAGCATGTGTGTTGTTACAAAGGTGGAGATTCTTCTCTCTTTCTTTCTTTACGAGGCATTGTACTAAATCCTTCTTAGCCATTTTGAATTACACGTTCCTATTTCCGTCACATTTTGGCAACTCGTTCCACTTCCCATTGGCTTGACACGTAATCATCCCCTTTTTCTCACCATCGAGACATATATATGTCAATTGATCTTGAAACAAGTACGAACGACCGTAGAGCGCGATTCCGTGTTGGATCTGTGGTTTGCCACACGATATTTCTGACAAAATAACAATGTGATTTAGATGTCTCCTAATGACAAGTTTGCAATTTTTTTACATATACATACTAGAGCATCTGCCATTCAATCTGGACCATTTCCCGCTTCCTAAACATCTTAGATTTGCCTGCCCGAATACACGATAGCCCGGAACACACTGATAAGAGATCATATTGCCGAAAGTGTAATTCTGAATTTCGTCTACGTCACTTTTCAGCATAGCGTTAGCGAGAATCGGCGGTTTTCCGCATGCCACAGCTAGAAATGTTCAACATATGAATTTAGAAATGTCTAATCCCTGCTTCCATCAATGTAAATTAAATTTTACTTCGATTCGATTTCTCTTCATTTTTTTCTAATTCTTAGAAGCAGAAAAAAATGAAGAGTTAGTTGAACTGAGACTTGAAAGTTGAATTGTTATTGATGAAAGTAGACATTAGAGACATTAGAGACATTGTAGATGACTTAAAAAGAAAAAAACATACGTTTACAGGAAGGCAAAGCGGACCACCTGGCATCCGATAAACAAATAGATTGCTCGGCACCCTCAAGAATATATCCATGACGACATTTAAAAATGACGACGCTATTGATCGTCCTGCGATTGTTAACGTTGTCAGTGTTGTTACCATTATCGATGTATCCGTATTCCGGTATCTGAAATTAATTGAAATTTTATCCTAGAAATATGCGAAGCTTGAAAATATTGTACGAAAAGATAGATCGCAATCCCAGATAACATTTATGTTGTATGAAATATCTAAAAGATGTTTTTTAGATGTTTTATGTCTAAAAGATATCTAAACGTTTTTTTAAACATCTTATATAACATAAATGTTATCTGGAATGTATTTCCTTGTATTATTATTTTTAACTTAGAACATTTGTGCCCGTTTCTTCCAATGTAGATTAATTTAAATCTCAGTTTAATTTATTTTTTATCCTTTTCTAAGAGTTAGAAAAAATAAAGAGTAAGTTAATCTACATTCGTAGAAATGGATATTAGTTAATTTTTTATTCTTTCCTGTCGATACTGATGTTATTTATTGATATTTTCAGAAAACTTACTTGCGGAGGTGCACACGATCTATTGCAGATGTCTGTCGAATCATTCAGTAGCTGTTCGAGGATAGATTCTTTCATCAACAAATTTGAAACTTCCCATTTTGCGATCGTATTGCACGTCCATGTTATATTTGAAATTGTCTCGTTAGCGATTAATTTGTGGAAGTTCATCTGTGCGCCATTTCGACACGTTAAAACTGTTCGTCCTTTATAACTATTTCTTTCGACGAAAATGTCAAAATCTTTGTATTGGTGCGTAACATTTTTTTTGTACCGTTTCTCGTCTAATTCGAATAATATCACATCTGTGTTGCTGTTCTCTAAGGCGGTTTCGTTTCCCAGTTTCTTGAAAAATTTAAAAATTGGATGTTCCTCGATCGAACAATTACGCGGCTTGCAAGAAGTGAAAGTCGAGGACCATCTCTCCTCCTCGGTACACGTTCTGACTTGATCCCCGACTAGTTCATATCCTAGATCACAGACAATAAGGATTTCTGCACCAGAAATGAACGTTTCCGGAGAAATCTCGTTCTCACTCTCATTACTTCTTCGATCAGGTTTCCATGTAGCGTCTTCTTCCATCGGAATTTCAACCGTGATGTTATCCCGTTTCTTGAAGAACATTTTCGCGTCTGCCACGCGATCTGGCCAGGGACACGTACGCGGAACACAGTCAGGAATAAAGCCTGTCCAGGTGCCGTTTGCGGAACATTGCAGCTTGAATTCTGTCAGAGTATGATTATTGCGAAATTTGTAGCCGCGATGGCAGGAGAATCCAATGATGTCGTTATAATGATACGTTCTTTCGGAGGAGTTGTCGATGATGTTACGTTCGGGATCGCGAACGGAAGTTTGATCAGAATTCGAAGGGATGATGTAGCCATGCTCTATTCTATATTCAGAATGTGACGATTCTCAAATATTGGTTAAAAGAAACTACCATATTTTTAGGCAAAGTCATAATTTTTTAAATAAAACAATATCTTTAAGCAAAAGGTTACTTTCTAAATTCTTAGAATCTCTCTTTAAATGAAAATTGAGCCAATTTTGAAAAAGAGTGACTCAATTTTCAATCTTTAAGAATGAGATTTTATTCTTTGGAGTGATAATTCATTTAAAATGTTTTAGAGAATATGTTTCAAGGACGCACTGTTTTGGCAAGGGACATCCATAGGGCGTGCAAGACGGTCTCTTGTGATCCCAAATACCAATGTCTAGGCAGGTCAAGTATCTCTCTCCTATTAAACGGTATCCAGGATTACACTTGAACTCTAACTGCTGGCCAGCCTGAAATAATTGAACAATTCAAAATGTAGGATTTCAACATCGTAATGTTCTTCTTCTTCTTTCTTGATTTTTTTGTGAATGACAAAAACGCATACTTGTAATATCGTGACATCATCTCTTTCATTTTCTTCTAATATATATTCGATGTCACCGTTTTCTGGAGCGAGTAGATTCTTGCACGTCGTTCCTGTTGAAAGATGTAAATTTAGTTGTTAAAGTCATTGAACTCATTTTTATTAGCCCTGCTGTTCTATTCAAATGTTATTCGATCGTCAAAATTAAAGCTCTGAAAATGATTTTCACAGAAAAAAGATCTTACATTAACAAAGTTATTAAATACTAAAGAAAAATTTTGAAATATTAATAAGAAAATTAATTACATTTTAGGTCAAATAGAACAGAACAAGGTTTAATCCAAGTGCGATTGTTACCTATGCAGATCGGAGGCAGTCCAATCCACTTTCCGTCAGAATTGCAAATGCGATGAGGATTTCCGCGGAGTTCGTAGCCCTCGTTACAAGAATAATATATCTCGTCCTCGAATAAATATGATTTTCCGTAAATGTGTCCGCGCGGAAAGTATCCCGGGAAGCCACATTTTATTTCTTCGAACAAAAAATCATCAAACCAGAATCATTTAGATTTCACGATCAAATCAAATCAGTTCATTTCACACTTTCTTCTTCGTGTTATAACATGATTACAAAGGAATCAGAACTTACTCATGCAGATTGGTGTATTGTATCCTTCCCACTGACCATGCTTGAGACACTTTCTTCTGACGGATCGGTATTCCTTATTACCAAATCGAACTACGTATCCATTATCGCAGTAATATGTTATCTCAGACAGATCCTCGCTTACTTTAATGTTACCCTTGAAGGGCATTACGGGCAGAGGACAGCCATGACAAAACGGACTACTTAAAATCTATATAAAGATATGAGATAATTTAAAAATTTAAAAGAATTAAATTTAAAAAAGAATTTAAAAAAATAAAATAATGTTTCAAAGGTGCATAGTTTGATGTAGAATAGATTGTAAGTATATATTAATAAAATCATTTTGAGGAGAAAACATATAAAAACATATAAAATATTAACTCATGGTAACAAATTAGTACAAGTTCAGTTATATTAATTTTCCTTGTGTTGTTTTTTTTATAATCTTCCCAGCTTAAGTATTAAATTAGCAGCGTCACACTGTTTTCTTGGAAATGACACATAATATATTGTTTTTGGCAATAATATTCTTAAAGCTTTCATGGGTGCTTTCTATATAAAGATTATGCGTTTCGCGGATTTTTTTCGTGTCCAGATTCGTTCTTGGAATGCTAACGTTTCGTGAACCTTGCAGTCCACTTCATCAGGGTGACCCTGATGAAAATAAATCAGAGTGTAAGTCGAATGTAATAGGAGAATAACAGGAGCGCAAATGAAACTTCTAGAAGGCAAAAATTGGAACAATGAAATATAAAAGAAGCATTTACACTTCCTTTACATTTTGATGTTTCAATTTTCGCCTCCTAAAAATTTCATTTACGCTTCTGTTATTCTCCATCACATCTAATTTACGCTCCGATTTTTATTTTCGAGGGAGAAGCAACCTCATACTGTTTTTGGCAATATAAAATAATACAAATTCAATCGTATTGATTTCTGATATTATTCTCTTTTTTTTTCTTTTATTTTGAATTGATCCTGCCAGCTTAATATTAAGCTAACATCATCAAAATTTTTTTCCGAAATAGCACACGGAACAAAATTATTATTAATGATACAATTTAGTACAAAATGAGTACTAAAAATTCTGATAAGTCTGATTTGATCCTGCTGATTTGGCCTTATTTTATAGAGTTCAAAAGGTGATACAGATATTTTTATTAAAACAATTGTATTGCTTCTTTTGCGTTAATAAAAGAATTTTGATATTTAATGATGGAAAAGTTTCTTTCAGTGACATTTTGGAGTAATTTTATCATGATGACTTATGTTTTGCTTGAATTGTAGTTTGATTTAATTAACGTATAATTACCATGACATCACCGTGAATGTACTGCCGCATCTGCGCCCAGGCTATGAGGTTCCCGTGATACTTCTCGCAGCTGTTCCATAGTTTCGTGACATCACTCTCGTTCAGGACGACGTCCCACATGTCCAACAAGCCGAGTCTGCCCAGGAATGCTTCCGATTCAGAGAAACCGCCACCCAGGCGATCCTGTTCCTGCCCGATGACGAGGGATCCGTTGGCTGGATGGGACGATGTCCGGGATTTTATGATTTGCTTTAGGTGTACGAAGATAATTCTTGATGATTACGCGTGTCATTACCTCGCACCACGGCTCCTTGGGCCAAACCGATGCTGTTGTCTTTGAGGATTCCGTCGACAAACACACGCCAGGAGCCGCTCTCACTTTCCCAAGTAACGCACAGGAAGTGCCAGTTACCATCGTTGACCCTAACATCAGTGACGATTTTCTCCCCGTTAATGTACAAGACCAATCTGCAATGACATTCAACCTGAGAGAGTTCGCTCGTAATCTAACACGTGTCAGTTCATTCAATTTGCATTGAATGGAATTAGCAAATTCTTCATTAAAACACACGCAGAAAAAATAATTTTATTGAGATATCTAAAAATTTAACTAGAGATATAGATTTGAAAATAAATTTTATTAGAAAATAGCTGTGCAGGAAACTCAAACACGATGAGCTATCCTGCAAAAAGTTTTGATATTCTAACAACCAATTTGAACATTCTCTATGTATTTAAATTTTTAGATACTTCTGCCAAATTTTTCTTTCCGTATACTGAATTTCTACAAGTAATTACCCATTATAATCCGTCAGTGTGAAGGCGTTGTCATAAAACGTCGTTGCGTACGATAATATCGTTCCGTAGTTGAAAGTATCCAACGATTGCAACCATAGGCAAACAGACAGCTGCCAAATTGGTAAATTCCTAAAACTATCTATTACAATTTTTTCGATTTTCACAACTTACCTGGAGAAAATCTCTCGCGGGTCCTTTGGTGGCCACATAATCCGTCGTGCCGGACTTGGTAAAATGCATCACGTAGTCGGATGATAGTTCTGTTAAAACAATTTTTAGTTTAAGATAAATATCTTGTATCTTAAATTATTATTTAAGAAACTTAACAAAATTAAAAAATAAAATATTCTAGAAATATTCTTGAAGTTTTAACTTACCAATTTCGCAGTCGCGTCCTGTGAAAGGAATCGGGCATTCGCAGATATAATCGAGAACGAAGTTAATGCAGCGCCCGTTGTTCAAGCAAGGCGAATACTCGCAGTGATTGATCTTGGTCTCACAGTCCTTCCCTGTGTATCCGTCGGGACATTCGCACCTGGACGATCATATTGTATATATATATATTGACTTCACATCTTGTAGCATAAAATTATACACAGACTATCTACCTGTAACTTTTCCGTGTTGTGTTTTCTTCTTTGACGTTGACGCAAATCGCATTCGTGTGACATGGCAACCAGTCGCAAGGTAACAAGTTGCAGTGTCGCCCCAGAAAACCGGGTTTGCAGAGGCATTGCCAGGTACCGTTCACAGTACGGCACACAGATCCTTCCTCACAGGGCATGTGCTCACAGTGATCCATCGAAACCTCGCAGAATTGACCTAAATGAGACCCATAGGTAACGAAAAAACTCATCGTGGGCATTATAAAATAAAATAAAAAAGCTGTAATATTAAAGACAATAATAATTATTATCCTAGAAGCAATTTATATTGGCGATACATTGGTGCATTAATATTGGCTTACATTAAAGATATTGGACTAATATTAGACCAACAGAGCCAATAAATTGTGCTTCTAGAGTAATGTTATTATAATGAAATATATAATAATTATTATAATGAAAAACATTACCTTCAAATCCGTCTCTGCACTCGCAAACGAAATCGTTCTCGGTGCTCATGCATCTTCCACCATTCTGACAGGGATTGGTGTAACACTCGTCCACGTAAATCTATAAGAATTATTTTGCCGAATCTTCTTAGGCCGGATTCGATAAATATAAGATTAACTTTCATTTCAGCTTACTCCAATTTTTTAATTAAAAAAAGATAAGGAGTAAGTTGAACTAAGATTAAAGTTAATCTTGCATTTGTGGAATCGGGTTTTAATCCAGATTTCATTGTTTCATTGCAAATATTTAATTTGCAAAACATATTCTTACCTCACAGTTATCACCTGTGTAACTGCTTTTACATACACACTCGTACATCACAGAATTATTCAGATACTGCCATGTTGTGCACATTCCTTCGTTTAAACACGGTGAGGAGTCGCACGGATCCTTGAATTCTTCGCACTTCAATCCTGAAGAAAATAAATTCGTATATTCCGCGCATAGCGGAAAAAAATGTTAATTTTATTTTAGAATAAAATAAAGGAAAAATTATTAATAATAATATTTAATAACTTAATTAATTATTAAGATTTAGAAAAAATTTAGAAAAAAAAATTGAGAGGTGCTATCGCGTCTCAAGATTATGATTATTAACATACCCACATAATATTCGCGACACTCGCAAACGTAGCCGCTTTCATCTCGTAGACATTGACCGCCATTTAAGCACGGATCCGTCCGGCAGTCATCGATTTCTTCATCGCGGATCGGTAGACAATCACTGATATCTATGGAGCCACGCTTTTCTGTCGTTACGTTCGACGGACAAGGCAAGCATTGACTTTGTCCGTAGTTTGGCTGATAGAAACCAATGTCGCACGCGAAACAAGGCTCCATGCCCACACGTGATCCGTGGTATCGTTTGCGTCGAGAATAATATCCTGGTCGACATACAGCTGCAGGGAAAGAAAGGGAAATATATTATAATGCCGACTCTCGCGTTTCCGGTTTACGTTCCAGAGAATCTTACGAATGCAATCTTTCAAGGTTCTCGCATGCATCCTCTTCGTGAAGGTGTATTCAGGACAAGGCACACACGTCAATGAAGCGATCGCATCCTGGTACTCGCCGAATGGACACGGCTGGCAAGTTCTGGTAGAGGAATTGTAGAAAGTGCCTGCGGGACATTTAACTAAAAGAAAATATTACAATTGAGAAGTATTTGTATACGAAAAGAATAATTTTGTTAAAATATCCAAAAATTAAACTAGATATAAATCTGAAAATAATTCTGTTAGATCAAAATAATTTTGTTAGATCAAAATAATTATAATATAAAAAATTCAAGCATAATAAGAGCAAAAAAATTTTGATTTTACAATTAGCTTAAGCATTCTACATAATTATTTTGATGTCTAACAATATTATCTGTAGATCTATATCCAACTAAATTGTAGATACTTCAACAAAATGATTTTTTGTACTGGCCCAAATTTGTACTGGCAGATATTCTTGATGATTTTCATCTTTTTTTATGCTCACCACAACCATGTCTCTTTAGCACACTACCGAGATCACAAAGGTCCTGTGGTTCCTTGAAGACGAAGTACAGATTCAGAGCGAGCTTCGCAATCTCCTGGTTGGTTTTGTTGTCAAGCAAGTTTAATTTTCCCACTTGCGTCATTGCATCGATCCTCTCTCTCAACTTCTGCACTCCTCGTTTTGGATTCTCGTAGTTTTCTTCTATTATCTTACCTGCAAGGAATTTCTTTGCGTGTTATCTGATACATTTCACGGAATCTGAAATTTATTTCTTACCTATAAACTTAAATTTAATTTCTATTCTATTTCTTTTCCGTTTAGATCTGGTGTTATTTTTGTTGGGCTCGGAGCTCAGTCTTATAGCTGCGCGTTTCAACCTTTCGAACAATGTTGTTTCAGTATCTTTAAAGGTATCGGTAGACCGAGCTTGTTTGTTCTTAGGTTCGAATCTTCGTCTTCTTATTAAGTTATCTTCAATATCCTTCGACAACGATAGATCGTCTTCACACTTGGGATCGAAGCTAACCAGATCGCACTCAATGTCATTATCGCATATTTCCAGGAATTTCGATTTCAAGTCATTAGCAATGTTCTTATTCAACTAGAAGGGACATTAGGATATAAAAGTTGTATATTTATTTCTATAAATTTTATCATTCTATTATACAATTTATTTTATAAATCGAATTATTATATATTAAATATAAACACTCACTTCGCCAAGAGCAGGTTGATTGTCGCATATTGCGCTTCCGTTGCTTTGTAATATCACATCTCCCTCCTGAGATATTGTTATAGGTGTTTGCGTTTCTAATCGATAGAAGAAATCATTATTTTATAAAATATAATTATGTAGTTGAAGATGCCAAATGACTGATAATTTCGAAAATTAACATAAATACCTGAACATTCTGGCAGATAATTACTATCCCACATATGATTGCTTGAGTTACATTTCAATAGCAATTCGTTATTCACGATATTGAAATTCATTGGCTCGATTGCAAAGTCGTAGCCATCCTCACAAGCTACGACGCATTGTGTTTCGCGATCGTCTGACGAAGAACAGTTTAGTCGACCATTCGCTGGTGCTTTCAGACTTTTACACACATCTGGAAAAATTATACAATTCAATTTTAATAAATAATATTTTTTACTTTGGGTATTAAAAGTACTGAACAAAGTGCTTTTATTCGATATAAGCAATTAATTATTATCTTCCAGTATTAAATTTCTGAAAAATGCATATTTAAATATAGTCATTAATGAAAAGATATGCACCTTCTACAGTAATGTTCAACACGCAACTTGCCCGATTGCCGTATTTGTCGGTCGCATTATAGAAGACCTTCGTATGACCGACTGGAAAGAAGAGGTCTTGGCCGGGTTGATGACTTTGATTGACGCGCACGGCAATTCTCGAATTGTCGTAAAAGACTGGCTCGTCCCACGTCACGTTTGCGAGACCGCTATCGAAATCGGTGTAAAGTGTTGGTGGATCGATACAGTTCTCGATTGTTGGTGGTTCCCTATCTGCAAAAATTCGCAAAAATACTCATTTTTCACGCGATATGTTCTTTTTGATGATTTATCTAACTTTTTGTCAATCCAGAAAGGAATCTAAGAAGAAGAAGAAGAAGGAAAAGAAGAAGAAGAAGAAGAAGAAAAGAAGAAGAAAAAGAAGAAAAAAAAGAAAATAGAAGAAAAGGAAAAAAAGGAGGATAGAAGAAGAAGAGGAAAAGGAAAAAAAGAAAAGAGAAAAAGAGAAAGAAGAAGAAAAAGAAGAAAAAACTCATTTTTTAAAGCTCTCTCTTAGATAACATGCGATTGGAACTTTGCAGCTTACCAAGAACTTTAACTTTGAATTTACATCTAGCTTTGTTGCCGCTCGCGTCTTGTGCTACATACACAACATTGCGTGTACCGATTTTTGCCTTCCAGGGTAGAACGATGTGCGGTTTTGTCCATACAATAGGAGATGCATCTGCATTGTCAGTCACCTTAGGTACTGTCCAGTTCACATATGCGTAGTTTTGTCCCTTTTCAGTCTCCTCGATAATGTTGGCTGGGCACTCCAAAGAAGGCGGTGTTTTGTCTGTCGCGTTCGAAATACGTATTACGCTCAAAATTAAATTTGGATTAGTAAGCGAGGCTTAAATTTATTTTTCTAAGTGCTTGATTTTGATATTAACCCACGCATCGATTAACGCTGTGACGTTGGGACCAAATTCCCGTGCGTCCAATGCACATTCTGTCGGTGGGTCCTTCCAGGATGTAACCCTCGTTGCAGGTGATCGTGCAATTGGTGGCAAAGGGCACCTTCGCTGGCCCGATGCAAATTTCCGGAGTGATGTCGCCGTTCGCGATTTGCGGTAAAGATTTGCATTTCACAGCTATCATAAGACATTGATTCTGTATTAATATTCTGAAAAGATACTGAAGATACAAGATAATATTGTCCTTTTTTTTACCTTTGCACGTAACTTTCAAACCGTCCCAACGAGATAAAGGTAGACAGTTGCGCACTTTGCTGCCACGAAGCTGATAGCCGACGTCGCATCGAAACTGGCAGCGTGTATCGATCGGATATACAGTGGAATTTTCTTGAAATTGTTGCTGATAGTCCTCGTCGTGCTCGCATTTTACGCGGCCATGCGTCGGTGAGCGTAAAGCCGAACACGTCTTCACTAAACAATGTAATTGATTACAATGTAAATTTAATTTGATCCCTCTTTCAATTAAATGTACACAATAATAAACATACGTATTATATTATTGATTGGGAAATTATTATTAACACATACGTGTAACTTAGTGTTTGCTAAGAGCTGATAGCAAACTTACGTTATGATGTTATTTGTCGTCATTTTGACGTTATCGTCATTTTCAATGATAAAATGATGACAATAACGTCAGCTTGTAATCTGCGGCAATTCTTTACTTACGCAAGCACTGCGGCTCGTTGCCGGACCAAGCGCCGTCTTTGCCGCAAAGTCGAATGCTGTCCCCCGTAAGATGAAAACCGATCCTACATCTTACGCCACACGCTGCGTGTACCACATTATTGCAAGCGCTCGCTTTCACCAGGTATCCGTTGTCGGGGATTCTCAGTTTCGGACATGTTATAGCTGAAAATAATATCCATCCTATTTCGCGAATAATTTTACGAATAATTTGTATTTGTGAGGTTTGATTGCGCGAGGATTGGCGCTCTTTAAATTAAAATTATCATACAATTATTCTTCATAAATTTATGAATGCACGAGCAACAAATTACCCTCGCATTTGTAACCATCTGTGATAAATCCGGAGGCGCAGACACAGTCAATCACCGAGGTCGCGGGAACCTTGATGGTGATGTGATTCGCGTCTGGACAGGATACGCATGCAGCGGTGGAATCCCCAGAGGTGTTCGTGGAAGCATAGGTTCCGTTTGGACAAGCTGTCGTGGGCACACAAAGAGAGAACTTTCGAATATAGTATAAAATGTATATTGTCTCAATAACAAATACATGATGTAGAAAAAAAATTAAAGACATAACAACCGTGAATTGTACGAGTGCCATACACAGTACATTTTATTTAAGGGACGTTCTAGGAATGTTCAATTCTGAATACATTTTTATTCATTTATAGGAATTGCATGGAGCGTATCTCTATGTCTTTCAATCTAAAAATAATATTAGCTTTTTCTGTGCACAACACACATTGTGAATACTATTCAATTCAAAATTTTGAATAGGAAATGCAGTTTTTCAATCCAATTGCATCCAATTAATTAAAAAAGTATTCTCTATTTAAAATACGCATTAGGATAGAAAAAAATTTCAATCCATTTTAATCCATTCTCGTTTGCTAGGAATATTCTTTAGCTATCTTTAGTACGTTCCTTAGAGATTTGTGTTGTATGAGGCATCAGAGATCAATAAATCAAAATTCGTTCGCTTGTTACAACCTACGTTGGCAAAAATCTCTGAGACCGGAACCGAAATAGCCAGGCGGGCAAATGCAGGCGTAATGTCCAGTCGCGGTACCGCAGGTGCAGGTCGCCAATTCATCGCAGCAAGTCCGGTTCATGCTGTCCGAGCAGAGACTATTGCAATCGGTCGGCAAAGTCACGGCCACGTACTGCCCAGTTTTCAAATCTGCGAGAAGTGTCGATCATTTAAAACTAGTTCCTTTTGTCCCAATAAAAGCTTCATAATGTTTTTACAAAATAGTGCTTTGCAATTCTTATGCTTAGCTTTAATATGATCGACTTAAACTCTATTCCTAATAATTTTAACACTTTACGCATTCAGAATACTTAGAAAATATAGAAACGTACTCAGAGAAAAACATAATAATTGCAACTCTCTAAAGGTGACAACTATACAAGTTTTATGTGTAAAATTAATATAGTAGCTTATTCAACTATATACATACATTAATTCTATATATTGTATAGTTTTATAATTATATATAGCTACCACTATGTCTTTTGCTCTAAATGCATATATGCGTAGTTTTCGATGAAGATGAAAGAAACACACCCCTATGCAGAGCGCGTCGCGCCAAAGCCTCAAACTCCGCGAAGCTATCGAGGAGATAGCTATGTGTGTATTCGGGATGACTGGCGATATCGTGCAGCTCCTCTACATTTCCCGTACGTATTCCAAACGTGAATATAATCGCACCCGTGTTCTTCAGTAGGTGAGCCGCGGGACGCGGATCGCCACCGTTGCTGAAGCCATCGGTTATCAGGAATACCATTTTGCTCGCCGCTTCACGACTCTTCTCAAGGATCGCCTTGCAAACAACGGAAATAGCCATAATTTATCAAAACCGTATTTTATCAAATTTTAGTTGAACTTGCTTTTATCATCACAATTTTGCCGTAAGAAATTATTATCTTGTTACAAATGCAACGTTGGCAACCATTAGAACTTATTATATAGTACTTGGATGTTTTTCAGCAACAAGACACAATACAACACAGTTGAGTCATTTCATTCTTGTTGTTTGTTAATATTAAACAAGGATGAAATGATTCACTGTATTCTTGATTGAAAACTGTGCCCTTACTAGTGCCTCGAGAAGCGCGCCACGCGTATAAGTTCCTCCGCCGCTATAAGTGATATTGTTGAACTGTTTGTTCAGCAAGTAACACTTGTGATCGTTGGGTCCGTGTCTGGAGATCTGATCGATGTTGCGATATACGCTGCCCCGACCACCGAAGGTGACCAGGGCGACCCGTGCAGCCAATGCGTCCACCGTAAAATCCGACAGGAGCTTCGTCACGAAGTTCAGTTCACTGCGGAAGTTCTCTGCACCGACCGAACCGGACGCATCCACCAGGAACACCATTTCCACCTGGTACCGAATCATTCGAATTCGAAATTATAATTGGAAGATTAGAAGCATTAGAGCCTAGACTTTTAACGTTCTTTACTTTTCTTAAATCTTGCGTTGAACTTTAAGAGCAAAACAGAGGATAAATACATTAACTTTGAGAATCGATTATGTATCTTGGAACGAAATAAAATGTACAAAAGTGAAAAAATATTTATTAGAATATTTATAGTAAGACTGCATTCCAAAACGTCTTCTTCGAGAAAAATTTTACTTGATGTAATAAGAAAAATAATAAAAAATAATAATAAAAAATATTAATTTTGAAGATTAGGGGTATATTGTGTGAGAAGATAAAAATTTTTTTATTATTTTTTGATTATTTTTTAATAAGTTAGTTATATTATATCTTTAATTTACAAAATTAATATTTTTATAAACT